GTCTTTCTCTTCTTTAGTTAAATTTATTCCTCAGTATTATGGTCTTTTATATGCCATTATTTGTAATTGTTGGAATTGGAATTGCTTTCTTAATTTTCTTTTCAGATGTTTAATTGCTGGTATATGGAAACACAACTGGTTTTTGAGTTATTGATCTTGTATCTTGCAACTTTGCTGAATTTGTTTAATTCCAGAGGTACTGCTGTGGATTCTTAGGGTTTTCTATGTACAAGATCATGTCGTCTGTGAATAGAGATAGTTTAATTCTACATTTCCAATATGGATGTCATTTATTTCATATTCTTGCCTAGTTAGGCTGATAGAACTTCCAGTACAATAAATAAAAGTGAGGAAATAGGGTATTCTTGTCTAATTCATGATTCCAAGGTAAAAGATTTTAGTCTTGCACCATTGAGTATGATGTTAGCTATACACTTTTCATAAATGTCCTTTATCATATTGCAAAAGTTTCCTTCTGTGTAGTTTCTATATTATTTATACACACACACACCTGTACCTATACCTGGGCCTATATTTATGTACTCTTTTATATAGTTTCAATTCAGTTTTGCTAAATATAGAATTATTGATGATTAATTTTTTTCCTGAGCACATTATAAAAAGAGGCACCCTAGTCCCTTCTAGCCCCTCTGGTTTCTGGTATGAAATCTGCTGTTAATCTGATTGAGAATCTTTTGGACATGATAAGTGGCCTTATCTTGCTACTTTCAAGAGTCTCTCTGTTATTGGCCTTTGGAAATTTCATTATAATGTGTCTTGGCATGGGTCTTTTTTTTAATCCTCCTGGGTTTCACTGAGTTTCTAGAATTTGTAGATGTGTGAGTTTTATCAAATTTATGAAGTTTTGGCGATTATTTATTAAAATATTCTCTCTACCCCTTTTTCTCTTCTCTTTCTGGGATTTCCATGGTGCATACATTGATACATTAATGGTATTCCACAGATCTCTTAGGCTCTGTTCAGTTTTCTTCATTCTTTTTTCTTTCTGTTCTTCTGTGTGGATCATTTTAATTGGTTTACTCATTTAATTTGAGTTTACTAATGCTTTCGTCCACCTGCTCAAATATACCATTAAAACTTTTAGTTGATTTTTCATTTCATATTGTACTTTTCAGCTCGAGAACTTTGGTTAATTTTTATAATTTCATTTTCTTTATTGGTATTGTCTATTTGTTTATATATCATTCTGATTTTATCCAGCTCTTTTTTGATGGTTTCCTTTAGTTCTTTGAGCATTAGGACAGTTGGTTCAAAGTCTCTGTTTAGTAAGTCCAATAGCAGTGCTTCTATGAAAGGATAATACTCTCTTGCCTTTTTGCATGCTTCATAATTTTATTGTTGTTGTTGTTGTTGAAAACTGGCTATTTTGAGTATTATAATGTGATAAATCTGGAAATCAGATCCTTCTCCCTCTTCAAGTTTGTTTTTGTTGATTGCTGTAGGCTATAGCTATTTGCTTGTTTGTAAATTGCATTTGTTGTGTATGTTCTCTGAAATCTCTGGTCCTTTAGCTATGTTTAGCTAGTATTTTGGCAGATGTTGCTTGAATGCCTGAAGTCAAAAAAAGAAGAGTGGGGAGAAAGAGAAAGAAAGAAAGAAAAAGAGAGAGAAAGAGTGAGAGAAGCCTGGCTGTCTACAACTTTGCCTAATCCTTCTCTTACATCTTATAGTGAGCATAGATAATCAGCTAGAAGAGAAAACTTAGAGAGTTCCTAGGTCTTTTCTGTGCATGTGTCCTGTTTTGGGCACATATGTGGTTTTCTAAATTTCCAGCTCTACATGAGTGCTTTCCAATGCCTTAATTTCACAAAGAAACTCCTCAGTCTCTCCTCTTAGACTTCTTTTATTTATTTATTTATTTTTTGAGACAGAGTCTCGCTTTGTTGCCCAGGCTAGAGTGAGTGCCATGGCCTCAGCCTAGCTCACAGCAACCTCAAACTCCTGGGCTCAAGCAATCCTGCTGCCTCAGCCTCCCAAGTAGCTGGGACTACAGGCATGCACCACCATGGCCAGCTAATTTTTTATATATATATATATTAGTTGGCCAATTAATTTCTTTCTATTTATAGTAGAGACAGGGTCTCGCTCTTGTTCAGGTTGGTTTCTAACTCCTGAACTCGAACAATCCGCCCACCTCAGCCTCCCAGAGAGATAGGATTACAGGCGTGAGCCACTGCGCCCAGCCTCCTCTTAAACTTCTAATGTTCTCTTAGGCAATTTAGCCACAATCTTTGGTCCTTGGTTACTGGATGTTTTTGTTCAGTTTACATTTTTAAGTAATGTCCTGTGCTTTTCTGTCATGCATGGGGCAGGCAGAGATAGATTTGAATGAGGACTGGGGTTTTGATAAAAGAATTACAGTTAAGCAAGTGAGAGGTAATAAGTGAGATATTACACCCAAGGTGGTGACTGTAATAAATAATTAACCATGGAGTTTAGTTGTGTAGGAAGAAAGTAAGAAAGTAAGTACATGAGAGATCAGAGAAAGAGAGAGTAAAAGTGTCAAGGATCAATAAATTAAATATTCCAGTGTTATCATAGGATGGTTGGATTCAGGCTTCAAGTCAGAGTAACCTGAAAAGATTGAAGGGTGGTTGGTAAATGCACTATTTGAAACAGAGATTATGAAAATAATACAGTTATTTATAACATCATCTTGTTACTCAAACAATAGGTCATAGACTCCACACTGCCTATACACACACTTTTCAACTTCATCGTGTGCCCTTCCTCCCATCTCTTTACTACACTTCAGGCTTATGGCCAATTTTTTCTTCCTTGAATACATCCCATTATTCTTTTCTCTCATAGACCCTTGCATTTACTTTTCCTTCCACATAGAGCACACTATGTTCAAATCATTAAATGGCTGGCTCAAAAGTCATCTCAACAGACAAGTTTTCTCTGATCATCTAATTTAAAGTTGTCCCCACCATTTAACTCTGCTTCATACACAAACATTCACACACACACACACACACACACACACACACACACACATACACTTTTCATGTCACCGTCTCTTGGGTATACCTTGTTTTATTGTGCATAATTCACAGATATTGCATTTTTTATAAATTGAAGGATTGTGGCAACCCTGTATCCAGCAAGTCTATTGGTACCATTTTTCCAACAGCATGTGCTCACATCATTTCTCTCTGTCTCATTTTGATAATTCTCAAAATACGTCAAACTTTTTCATTAATATTATAATTTTATAGTGGCCTGTGATCAGTGATCTTTGATATTACTATTGTAATTATTAGAATATCATGAACTATACCCATATAAAATAGCAGATTTAATTGATAAATATTGCACATGTTCTGATTGCTCCACCAACAAGCCATTACCCCATTGCTCTCCCTCTCATCAGACCTTCCTATTCCTTGATACACAACAATTTTGAAATTAGGTCAATTAATAACTTTACAATGACCTCTAAGTATTCAAGAGAAAGGAACAGTTGCACATCTCTCACTTTAAACCAAAAGCTAGAAATGATTAAGCTTAGTGAGGAAGATATACCAAAAGTCAAGATAGGCCACAAGCTAAGTCTCTTGTGCCAAACAATTAACCAACTTGTGATTGTTGGTTGCCTAGGAAAATTTCTTGAAGGAAATTAAAAGTGCTACTCCAGTGAAAACATGGATGATTAGAAAACAAAACATCCTTATTGCTTATATAGCAAAAGTTTTAGTGATCATGCTAGAAGTTCAAACCAGCTACAACATTTCCTTAAGCCAAAGTCTGATCTAGAGCAAGGTCCTAACTGAATTCAATTCAATGAAGGCCAAAAGACATGAGAAAGCTTTAGAAGAAAAGTCTGAAGCTACAAGAGGTCAGCTCAAGAAGTTTAAGTAAGAAACCTTCCAAATCCCATAAAAGTGCAAGGTGAAGCATCAAGTGCTCACATAACAGTTTTTCAATGTAGATGAAACAGCTTTTTATTGAAAGAAGATATCATCCAGGACTTTCATGGCTAGAGAAAAGAAGTCAATGCCTGGATTCAAACCTGCCAAAATAGACTGGGTCATTTGTTAGGGGATAATGCAGCTGGTGACTTTAAGTTGAAGCCAATTTTCATTTACCATTCTGAAAATCCTAGAGCCCTTAAGAATTATGCTAAATTTGCTCTGTTTGTGCTCTGTAAATGGGGTAACAAAGCCTGGATGATAGCACATCTATTTAGTGAGTGGTTTACTGAATATTTTGTTGAGAGCTAGAAATTGCACAGAAAGAAGATTCGTTTCAAAATATTACTACTCTTTGACACTGCATTCGGTCACCCAAAAGCTCTGCTGGAGAAGTACAAAGACATTCTTGTTTCATGCTTGCTACCACACATTGATTCTTAAGCCCATAGATCAAGGAGTAATTTCTACTTTTAAGTCTTAGCTACCATAGGAAGTGATTCCTCTCTGATAGACCTAGTCAAAGTCAATTGAAAACCTTCTGGAAAGGATTTACCATTCTAGATACCAGTAATAATATTTGTGATTCATGGGAGATCAAAATATTAATATTAACAGGAGTTTGGAAGAATTTGATTTCAACTGTCATGGATGATTATAAGGGATTCAAGACCTCAGTAGAGGAAGTAACTGCAGATATAGTAAAAATAGCAAGAGAAGTAAAATTAGAGTCTAAAGGTGTGACTGGGTTGCTGCAATTTTATGATAAAACTTTAACAGAGGAGGAGTTGCTTCTTATGGATAAACAAAGAAATTGTTTTCTTGATATGGAATCTGTGCCTGGTGAAGATGCTGTGAATGTTGATGAAGTAACAACAAAGGATTTAAAATATTACATAAATTTGGTTGATAAAACAGTGACAGAGTTTGAAAAGATTTATTTTGATTTTGAAAGAAGTTCTACTGTGTATAAAATGCTATCAAACAGATAAATCTACAGGAGAAATATTTTATAAAATAAAGAGCCAATTGATGAGTCAAATTTCATTATTATCTTCTTTTAAGATATTTCCACAGAGACTTCTACCTTCAGCAACCACCAACCTGGTCAGTTAGCAGCCATTGACATCAAGGTAAGACCCTCCACCAGCAAAAAAGATCATGTCTCAGCAAAGGCTAAGATGATTGGTAGCATTTTTTAGCAATATAGTATTTTTCAATTAAGTTATACATTTTTTAATTAGACAAATAAAATTTTTATTAAAGAAAATTAGAAAATATAAAAAAAGAAAAAAGATAATTCTTAAAGAAGATTAGAAAATCTAAGAAAAAGAAATAAGATTATTCACCATATTCCCTATTAATATGTTGATGCATATTTTTCCAGAGTCTTTTTAACTTTTGCAATTTCAAAGACAAATTTTGAAAACACAGACATGACTCTAAATATAGAAATATTCTGTACAGTGACAAGCTGGAAATAATACATATTTTCATTGTAATACTCCAAATATTGAGCACTTAACTATGTGCCGAACATTGTATAAGTTACTAGCAATACATCACCAAATAAGTCAAGATCCCTTCTCCCAAGACTCACACAATCTAAGGGAAGAAATCAGCACATAAATATACTGTAATAAAAATATCCATGTGATAAGAGTTGTTGTAACATTAAGCACATAGAGGTTCAAAATTATACATTTTTAAAAAAAATAATGCTATTGAACACTTAATAGACTGGTTTATAGTGTAAAAATAACTGTCGTAATGCACTGGAAACCAAAATATTTGTGTGACTTTCTTTATTGCAAAGTTCACTTTATTGTGGTAGTCTGGTACCAAACCCATGATATCTCTGAGGTATGTGTGAACTTTCTTTTAAGCTCTTATAATGATCAAAATTCATCTAAGATATTTGTTTACTTACAATTTTCTCTATTTCTTCCTATCTACTTTCCTAAAAGTATGTTATCCTTGATTAGCAAAAGTCATATCAAATATAGTAGTAAGAATGAATAAAACAAATGAAAGAATACAAAAGCTTGACTATATTTACAAATATTTTATATTACTTGTAAAATTGCTGTCTTTCAAATGTGCTATATGTTACATAATTAGGCTGATAGTTGGGATATACATGTAGCTTATTTTTTTTAATGGAAAGTATTTAAATATGAATCTGGCAGAATTCATACCCTTCTTTTTCCTTCTAAAATGAAAACATTTATTATTTGTTAATATCACTCTACTTATTGCCTTTCAATGCATTTGTTTTAGAAAAAAAGGACAGAGTCCTTTATAGTCATTATTCACAGGGACAGATGAGTTTGAAAGTACATTTTTATTGCCCACTTGAACTTAATGGGTTCTAGCACATAGAATGAAATAGAGTTTACACTGTGTCATTTACATTGCCATTAAATTGGTAAAGCTCACAGGACTCACATCTGATGGCTTTGCTTGCCAATATAAAAAATGATCTTTGGATTATGTCTGACCTCTTACTGATCGTGCCTAGATGAAAATTCAGACTTTCAAACTAATAAAATCTCATGGTCTTGACATTAATCTCATCTGAAACTGATAATGAGGGCTATAAGTATCTTCTAGAAAATCTTTAACTTTCATTCAGACCTGGTAAATGTTGGCTCAGATTGCCCACTACTAAAAGTTATTATAGTTGTTTTCTAATGTAGTGTCTTATTTTGTTAAAATTTAAGTCAAGTGTTTGCATGATCATTAGCTCTGGTTACACAATGAGCTCCCTAATTAAAATGTCTATATTTTATCATTATAGTTATAATTTTATAATGTTACCATAACTACAATACTATTCTGCAACCGCAGTCCATAATTTCAGATTAAATATGTAAAAAAATTCTAATAACAACTACAGAATCCTAAAATCTTAGAATCAGAATATTTTGATGAAGATCTCTAAAATTATATCAAATGCATGAAGTAGTAGATCACTATAAAGCCATTCAATTTATTACCATGAACTTATTTCACAAATTTGTGGAACATATTTGAAAAGTGATCCTTACCTTGTTGTTTTATGTTAAACCTTTATTTTATGATTCTTTTTACTACATATTATTCTTTTTACTACATACTACATATAAGAATAGACTATTTAAAGAAGAAATTTTATATATAGCTCAAGAGAGATTTTAAAAAACTATTTGTGAATTTATATGAAGAATGGTAATGATAGCTTCTAAATAAATTTAAGATAAGAAGCTACACAGGCTATAAGAGTCTGAGTTGAAGAAGCCATCTTGCCAAATGAATGGATTGGATAAAAGGCCAGTACATAGCACATTAAATAAAATAGTCAAAGTAAAACAAAGTCATAAACAGTGAGTAGGCACTGTAAATACAAAGATAAATTAGATTCTCTGTCTTTCAGAACTCAGTTTGGTAGGAGAGAAAGGAATGTGAATAGAAAATGAAGATGCAGTTTTAGACTTGTGGTACAAATGGCAGACTGGCCACTTGAAAATATTTATTCTATCTTCTGGGTCTACATTCAAATGATAGCAAATGTACTGAGTTTTAAATATAGCTTTTATTCTGAAGATAATGAAGGGGAAGCAACCATCACAGGATAAAACATTTCTTCACAATTTTGAGGAAGAAAAAGAAAAGCGTTACAGATCTATTACACAAGCTGTCTTAAATTTATCAGACAGAATTCACTTAATTATTATGGAAATATTAATCTCATCTGATTCACATATTTTATATATTCATTGATAACATTTTTAATTTCTCTTATATATGTCAATAAGTAATAATTAACTTTTTGAATATCCAAACCTTATTTAGCAATTCTCTTTTAGATTTTCCTGAAGATGTCCCTCTTGGTGCCTTCTCTCTCTCCCTTGCAATTTGGAATACTGGTTCCCTAGGTTTAGCCTAAACACAAAAATAGTATAAATGTAAAAATAAACAAGCCAGACAATGTAGAGAGCTAAAATAAATATATAAATACTATAATTAATATGCTAGAAAAATAATAGTATATTGCGTGTATGAAACAAGAATGGGATACCTTATAGAAATGATTTATAATAAAAAAACTCATAAATTATATATGTTATTGACAAAATAGAAGAAAACATTAATAGATAGTTTTGAAGAAATAGTTAAAGACATTTTGATAAAGTTGAACAAAATACAAGGATGTGAAAATGTGGTAGGAAAAAAAAGGCACAACATCTATCCCCCAGGATAAAATACCAGGTAGAGATATAAATAAGAGAAGAATACAGGTAAGAGAGGCAATAGAGAGAGAAAAATTAGCAGTGATATATTACAAGAAAAAATTCCAGAAATGAAAATGCTTCCCAAGTGTTCACTTGGTGAAAAATAACACATATCTGGATACATTATGGTAAAAGTTCAAAACATCAAAGGTAAGAGAATATCCTGAAAACTTCCAGAGTGGAAACAAAACAGATCAGCTATAAGCAAGAATCAGATTACTGTCAAACTTATTAGTAGTGTTATAATAACCAATAGTAGAAAACAAAGATAAAGGCCATGAAAGAACATGGGAAAAATTGGCTCTCTATATAGTTTTATTCCCAGTTAAGCTGGGAATCAAATGAACCTTGTATGATAACCAAATAAATGTTTCAGATAATCTAAACTCTAAATATCAAATTCCTCTATATCCTTTAAAAAAAAACAAACATTTGAGCAAATACACTAGCAAAATAATAATAATAATAAGGAAGAAAAAGATGTGACATCTGGAAAATATCCAGATTCATCCATAAATCTACCTAGTTAAGGAGTAACATTCTATTTCAGGATGACATTTTTGTGAAGGCTTAAGACAAAACCAGTCCAGAATATAAGATAAAAACAGAGGACATTCAGAAAGGAAAGGTTATGTCTTAAACATGAATGGAATAATTAATTCCTTAGAAAAACATGAGTAAATGGTAAAATGGTGAAATGAATTAAGGAAAATTTATTTAGCTATAAACATTCTGTTTGAATCATACAGGGTCCTGACATTTTCTCTACAAAGGAGGAAATATAAAAATGGTATACTACTTCTTTATTGAAAATATATAGGCTGAATCAACTTATATGACAGAATTACATGTGGGTTATGAGGACTGAATGGTTAAATAATAGAATGTAAATTTAACCAACATTGACAAAATAAATGTCACAGATACAAATGAAAGAGGTTGATAGACACAATTGATTAAGAAAGATAGGACATGTGGGAAACTATATGCTTATCATAAAATTAGAAGAGAAGAGGTATGGTTGATGCTTGGTGGAATAAAAAACAATTCCAGAATGTCAATTGAAATTTCAGGGGAAATTGCTGGAGTTATCAAGAGCAATATTATAAATAGGTTTGCCCAAAACAAGACCATGCAAGTAACATATTTTTTACTTTGAACAGTATATTAATTTTGGCAATATATAATGTTATACTTTGGTTATAAATAAACAGAGAAATAGGGCAGTGAATGACATGATTTGATGTAAAAATTATTAGTCATAGAAGAAACTTAAATAGCAGAAAACAAACAGGAAACAGAAAAATACACATGGATCATAACAGTGTGGATGATTGGTGGAATGGGGTGATTTTGATTTCATTATGCACCTCTTTTTACTATTTCACTTGTCATCTGGTATGATTTTTATTTTGATAAAAAATAAAAATATATTATGATAATTGTCAGGGATATGGAACAAATGGACCTCTCAAACATTGTTGGTAGAAGTACAAAATGGTACAAACATTTTGGAAAATCTTGGTTGATTCTTACTAAAGCTGAAAATAAATATATCTTATTTCTCAAAAATTTCACTCCTAAATATGGAACACAGCAGACATAGGGAACAAGGACAATAATACAGGAACATTTTTGTGATGACCCAAAATTGGAACAATCAAAAGTCTATCAACTTCAGACTGGAAAATAATTTTTCAATAATTTTCCAGATTGGAAAATGGATTGAGACATCCATTTCATCAAATATCATATAGTAAGAGAAATGTCAGAAAACAAAATGACCTAAAAAAAAAAGGTAAAAGCATCATAAATGCGAGTTTTTCCAGAAAATATTTAATTCGATAAGTTTTATTTTTACTATTCATTTATTGATTGACTGATTTTTTTGATACACAGAAAAACCAGAGACTTGTAGCTTCAAACTCTTCCGCAGTTTATCATACCTAGCCTAGAATGTATTACTGTCAAATCAGACTTAGTGTTCACTATTAGCCCTCCAATGGGTCAGAAGTCTGTGGGGATTGAAGTAGAGAGAGTCTTGGCTCCATAATTCACTAGCCTAATGAGGTGAGTGATAGGCTCTGAATGGAGACCAGTTGACTGATTTCTTGGCAAGCAGCCGTTACAATCTCCTCATTAGTGTGTCTCACTCAATCTTTCCTAAAGTAAGGTGATCTGAATTTTGAGACTGACCATTTATAAGCAGTCTAGTCATGGTTTCTCACAACTCATGTGCCTGTATTTCATTTCTTCATAGCACATTGCTATAATTGTGAGATGCATATGTTTGAATCTCCTAAAAGGAACAGTTTTCTCCCAAATTAAGTTTAATATGCAATATTTGTATCAGCAAAATAATGACTTAAGAGCATTCTCCTCACAGATCATTCTGAATTTTAGAATGATAGAATGGAAATCCTGCAATTTATCATATAATTAAGAAATAGCAAAGTACAATTCTCACCTTCTCTTAATTAGTTAGTAGTGTTTAACTTATTTATACCATATGCCATGCTGCAGTCATATTGACTCTAACAAGTGATATCTGAGGAATATAAAGGATTATAAGCAAGAATTTCTTAAGAAGCCAATATGTTATCTCAAGATTTTTTTTATTTCTGCATATTATGGGGGTACAAATGTTAAGGATATGTATATTGCCCTTGCTCCCCCTCCCCCCTCGAGTCAGAGTTTCAAGAGTGTCCATCTCTCAAGACGGTGCGCATCACACTCATTATATATGTATATACCCATAGTCTCCTCTCCCCCTCCCATCTGCCCGACATCAGATAAGTGTTATTCCTCTATGTGCACTTAGGCGTTGATCAGTGGAACCAATTTGCTGGTGAGTACATGTGGTGCTTATTTTTCTGTTCTTGGGATACTTCACTTAGTAGAATGGGTTCCAGCTCTATCCAGGAAAATACAAGAGGTGCTATATCACCTTGTTTTTTATTATAGCAGAATAGTACTCCATGGTATACATATACCACATTTTATTAATCCATTCATGGATGGATGGGCACTTGGGTTGTTTCCACATCTTTGCAGTTGTGAATTGTGCTGCCATAAACATTCTAATGCAGATGTCTTTTTTATCGAATGTCTTTTGTTCTTTTGGGTAGATTTTTATCATTTAAAGCAATATGGCCAATACTTTCTTACAATGACTAAATCTGGTCATCATAAACTCTTTCAATTAATTTTCTGAAAATAGTAAAATTATTTTTATGTAATTTCTTACTGCTTGATAGAATAGTTCCTTTTTCCAACTCTCCCTTCCTCCAAATAGCTAACACTTGCACAGAAGGAGAGAGGCCAAGATGCACATATATTAGGTGTGGATGTTTGGCTTTTACTGACTTGATTCCTACATATCTACTTCTTTGTTACTAAGAGAATAGAATGATTCCTTTTTTTTTTTTTTCAATACCATCTCCTCTATGAAATAATGCAGTTTCACTTTGGTTGAAACCAATACTTCCCCAAGATTCACTAGCCCTGTGGTAACTTCTCCTAGAAGTTTTAATGAAGTTTGACCTTCTCTTTTATCTTCTGTACTAAACTATATTGTAGTGCTGCCACAGGCAGTTTAATAACAGGTGAGTTTCACCCCTAGGCTGATTGTATTTCAGCAGAGGTTGAAGTGATCTCTGTATGTCAGGTTGTTAAATCTGTAAAAAGCTATGTGATCTTTCAAAATGAAAGTCAGTACATCAAGGCAATATAGTTCTCTTTTTTCTTTTTATGGTCCTCTTTACATCTTTGTTCTGGACAGCTCTGAAATACCAAAAATGACTGCTTTTTTTTTTCCCACTCATGTATGGCCATCAAATATGCAAATACAAAAATTGTCAAAATAAAATATTCTTGTCTTGAGCTTTGCAACCTTTCCAAAGAACTTCATAGTTTAGTGCCTCTATATGGACCTATGGGGGATTATTAAACTGAGATTTCAATGCTTTAAAATATATTCACAGTTAGCAAAGTTCTTGAGCTCTCATTCTAATTTGTTTCTGTAACATTCACCACAATTCAAGGTGCTTTTATTATATTTTAGCAGATATATAAATTTTATAAGGACTCTCTTCCTAAATCTGAAATATTTGAGACTTCTAACCTCCTTCAGAAACTTACTTAATATGAACTAATAACTAACTTAATATGAACTTAATATGAACATTTTAAAAAGTTTGTACTTTTTAATAACATTTTATGTTTATATTCATAATATATTTTGCTCATTTATATGATATTTATTAAATATAAGCTATTTGTCTATTACATAATTAGTTAAATGATTAAGAATAAATTAGTAAATTATAGTGGGATGATAACACTTCCTGCTTTGTTTAATTATTTTTTAAATTTCATCATTCCTAGAATGTATATGAGATCAATACACAATATATTGTGTATGTGATAAAGACTCTGATCCTTAAAGCCAATTCTATGAATATCAATTGATTATCTGACTTTCTAAGTTGTTAATCTATATATCAGAATGACTTAAACACCTTCCATATTATTAAAAGTTACATTTGCTTTCCATATTGGATTACTCCACTCCATATCACAATTTAGTTCCTTATCAATGTATAACTGAATTATTGTAGTAGTCCTCCATAATATATTCTTCATTCTATT